TTAAAGGTCGTATTAAAAGGAAGCAAGCTGAGAACTGGAAGGAGAGAGGCCCTAGATTGGAAGAGGAACGCATGAAGGCCAGGTGGAAAAGAGGGAGCCGCTGCGTGATCATGGGGGGTGCGACGCCTCGTCTGGAGACAGGTCAACGTGATGTGGTGACCCAGTCCCGACAGCAGGAACGGCGACAGTAGGAGACAATGTGTGTGAGTGACATCAGGGCAGATGTATACCACTGCCTGCATTTGTGAGTAGTGTCTCACTGTGAGGGTCACCATGGCTATAAGCCAGGGCAGCTTCTGGGATGATGGTTCTGGCTCCTATTTGCTTTTACTTACAGGTGATGACGTGAGGGGAGCCGCGGTGGTATCGAGCGACGGACTCCAATGCAGAATGCGAACTGGGCTGGGATGTGATGGACCCAGTGGACGGACGAGACTGGGACAGGTGGCTCCTCGTCTGCCTGACACAAGGCTGGCGTGGACCCCGCTCAGCAAGAGGAATTTCTGTCCAGCTCAAGAACACACAAGGAATATTCGTCCTGGGTTGTGGGACTGGGTGGGATTTCTGTGCATGAAGAGAATTGCATTTTGACCAGTTTTAGAATAATCTTATCCAGTCTCAGTGGGAATTTTAGCATATCGAGAAAATTTCATTGTATACTTTATTTCTTAGTATCTGGTTTGTTTTATTCCTGCTGTCCACCTCGTGGAATAAACATGAATGAAACAATACTTTCCTGTCAAAAACAATATTTTAGTCAGGGCTAGCAGAAAGTTTCATATATATCATGAACATCTTTCCTCTTTGTCTTCCTATAGTTTAGTTTCATTTTCTTACCCCAACCGGTGGAGGCAGATGGCCCTCCCTGATTCTGGTTCTGCCGAAAATTGAGTTTTTCCTTCCCACTGTTGCCAAGTTCTTGCTCATAGGGGGTCATTTGATTGTTGGGGCTTTCTCTGTATTATTGCACAACCTTTATCTTACCATATATTTCAAGTTTATATGTTGTGAATTGGCTTGATTTAAATCAAATTGAACTCATTCAATTAAAACCAAATATAACTTGTAATCCAATCTATTCAAATGTAAAGTCATCTCACTCAATTTGGACTAGCACTGAAAAATACACTGACATCCTCTGTTTCCCAATTAGCAGATCAGAGGTTGATGTTTTATTCATGACTCAATACTTGAATGGTTTTATCTTGTTTATGGATAAACATTTAAAAAGGACACTGCTTCATTGTCTGATTCATTCTTTGTCTGTGTCGGTCCTTAATACACATACATACATATACATACATAAACTTGAAATGAATTAATCCACCTGTTCACAGGAGATCACAAGAAAATGACACCAAACATCAGAAGATCTTATTGTGCGCTACAGTAAAAGGATGGTTTCTTGGGGCTAAAAGCACATAATAAACTACAGCAGAAGCTCACATAAAGCAGGAAATAAGCAGGCAGCACTTGATCCGCTAATGCACGTTTCACACTTTTATTGTTGCTTCATTCACTAACAGTTCAATGGTGCAAGAGTACCACACACAGAATTAGGATATCTGCATGACACATCTATGCTGTACAGCGAACGGATTATAATTATTACAAATACAGTAAACATATTTACATTTTAGTTCAAGCTCCATACAACATAGATATTTACAAAGTATGAAAATGAAACCGGTCTGACAAATAATAAACAGCGTTAATGACG